CTGCGCTTGTGAAAATTTGCATTCAAAATCCATCCATTAAGGTAAAAAAAAATTTTTATTTCTCAACAACCTCCCAAAGTGAAGCAGCAACAAATTTTTAATGTTCTGAACACCCACTCTCCTGCACTGCTCTGAAAACTGCTTTAAGGATGTTGCATTCTGAACAGCCCTCCCAAAGCAAAGGTGCAGAAGAGCTGTTGAGGGAACCGGAAAGCCTTTCTATGCACAAGTATCTACACCCCAACTTTGAGAGAATAACTTCATACGGAGGGAATAACTGCCAGCACATTCTCACTTATATTCTGGTGATCCCTGGGGCTCTCTTTAATTTGCTCTTTCTAGATCTGCCTTTGAAGATGTTTTCGAAGCTGCAAGTCGTGCACTCAGACTGTCTCGCAAGGAACCTACTATTTCTACTTGCTCCCCTTAGGTTCAGGCTGTGCTGGTTGAGGATGTTTCTATTTTTGGTCTTTTACAGCATATGCTGTTTTATGGTTTTAGACTGATCCTGCTGTATTTTGTATCTCATTTTGGACCGCACCTGGTGGCTGACAACAACCATCCATTATATAAGAAATATAATACCACATTCCCTTCCCCCTCCAGCCTTCTATGACCATTACTTGCATGATTATCCTGGGGGGGGGGGAACATACCCCACACAGCTGCTCCTTCCTAACTGCTTGGGGCACAATTCCTCAGTTCCCTTTTGACTAGTTGGCCAGGGTGGCTCAGCTGTTAAAAAACATGCATATCAAAGCTTGTGCCCTGCTGTGTAGCTGATGTATTTTCACATACCTGCGTCCATGGCTATACATTCCTGTCTACCTCACCATCTCTTGCCTCCACCCTCAGCTCAGTCTTTTCAGCTACAGAGACTCGGCCCCATAGATATCCATCTCCTGCATTTCAGTCACTTCTCCTTCACCACTACAGCTAGAAGGAAGCTGGATGCTTGGTTTCAAGGAGAGGGGAACTGTTAGTTAAAGCCCACACTGAACATGCTTGCAAGATAATGCCACACCTAATGAGAACCACCACTTTGGCCACCAAATGAGAAGGGAGCACTCACTGGAGAAGACCCTGATGCTGGGAAAGATTGAAGGTCAAAGAAGACGGGGACGGCAAAGGATGAGATGGTTAGACAGTGTCATCGATGCAACGAACATGAAATTGAGAAAACTTCAGAGGACGGCGGAAGACAGGAGGGCCTGGCGGGATCTGGTCCATGGGGTCGTGAAGAGTCGGACTCAACTGTGTGACTGAACAACAACAATGAGAACCATTTCTTTTTGTCCCCCCCCCCGGGTAGATTTTTGGGATTCTAACAAAATAAAGCTTCCTACATAAAGCTTTCAACCACCCAACCCGGGCTTTAGCCCACCCAACTTACTCAAAAGGAAGCAAACTTAGGCACCCAATGTATATGGCAAGGTGTTGGCAGCAACTGCATTTTAAACCATTTTCCAAAATGGCTTATTGGTGTCTGTTTCCCCAAGCAAGTATAACTACAGCGTGGATTCAGATTAAAAATAGCCATCTCCCACTTACCCTGGTATTCAGAAGGGAGCCATTTTAGACTAGTTATTCTTAGCATCACTTGTAAAAAAACCTCATCTTAAATGCACCACCTGCAGCTGACTATAATACCGTACCACATGGGACCTACTAATGGGTACATGATTAAGAGGGAAAGGGATTATTGGATTGTTTGCTCCTCAGCCATGAAGGGCCAAAAAAATAAGGAGACTCCATTAAACCATAAGGCTGTTAGATAGCAAGGTGATCATAGACATTCCATCTCAACTGCAGGTAAATACTCTGAATACTGACAGACTAGAAAAATAGAACAGACTAGAAAAATAGTAGAGAGTAACCAGAAAGCCGGTTACTGAAACAGCCACCCAAGACATAAAGTGGGGCAGAAATAAGATCCAGGCAGTACGCCTCCTGGCTATGCACATGAGCTGCTTTTTCCTTTGTCATTTCAGCTTCCTTTGAAAATATATGGCAATTCAGAATCTAGTCAATAGTCCCACAACTTTGTCGCTCTTGCAGTCAGTCTTAACAGCAGATGTAATTTTAAGAATACACATTCGATCTGGTGCTTCCCAGAAGGCCTGGCGCCTTTGCACAAATTTGAGAGAGCGCTGTTAGACTTTAACAGGAGCAATAAGCCAAGTAAACCTGGCTTCAGCAGCTGGACAAACAACTTGCTCAGAAACTAGCCATTCACTAAAACAGCTGCAAGGTTAATGGAAGTTTTCTAATGGCTGGATCAAAGGGATTTGGAAGCGCAGCAGTCAAAAATGTATTTTGGAAGGTGTAATACCTACAGCGTCACCTGTTAAAATTATCAAGGAGTGGAGCTTTTGGCTAGGGACACACTGTCAGTGACAACAGTGGACTGTTGGTGTATAAGCTGGTTTCTCCTAGCCCAGGGTACCTCTCTAATTTCAGCCTCCCCCCTTCAAGAACTGCCACAACTAGAAGTAGGAGGGTGTGCCTATTCTCCCCCCCCCCTTAAATTGCAGTGTTTTTGTTCAAGACCCTAGTTCAACATGTGGAATTGTCAGAGGGCCCCCCCCATTTTTTTTCCTGTTTCTTGAGTCATGTGAAAATATTTGTTTGGCAGGTTCCTATGACACACTCCCTTTTGTTTTTTGTTTGCAGGCTGGTTTGCATACATATCATGGTCTGGATGATTTAGGCTTGTCTGTGAAGATGCCACTGGGCAGATATCCTGTCTAGAAGTAGGAGGTCGAGCTCAGTTCCTTCATGTATGTTCCAGGATTCAGTCTGTTGGCTGCAGCTAGCACAGAAGGCAGGAACTTGCATTGCTCTTACCTGTGACTGATTCCAACATTGTTCTTTTCAGTCAGAGAGATGGCCTCTGCACCCGGAATTATTCCCAAACTCCTGCCTCTGATGATTGAGTAGGCTGGTCCTTTCCAACAGCAACTTAAAGGGAACAGAGGAACATGCACCTCACAAAACCATTGCCAAGACTCCTTCTGCCATCACATAGTACCAAAACACACAGCAACATTTACGGCCTCCTACCTTCAAGACTTCAGTGCCTCTTTTCCTCCTCCACCCCAATGTCTGTCACTATAATCTGCCAAACAAAGCTCCAAATTCCACAAGGTAATGTGCTGTGGAAGTAGGAAAAATGTTCAAAACCACAGTTAAGTCATGCAAATAAAAAACCATGTGGAATAATTTATACCAGGCACAAAAATCTGGAGGAATTCCTGGACAGCAGATGAAGCTACCATAGATCACCCAGTGCTTCTGACTTGGAGGACAGGGTCAGAAGTCTGTTCCAATACAATATTTTCCCTCACCACAGAAATGTCAGTAATATTTAAGAAAAAGCCAAGCAGTTCCATATAAGTGACTTTAATTCAGGTTCAATATATTATTCCAAGATATTTTGAAATTGCACTTGTTCTGTCCTAGTCCACAGTTTGAGGCAATATTTAAAAGTCTAGGAGGAGTTTGGATAGCCAAAAGCTTGACAGTAAATTGCTGCTGTTTACAATAAACATACTTTGCTCTCCAACACAATTTCTTTTTAAAGTCATCATTTTGTATGGGGAAAAAACTAAGTGGAGATATGGAATTAGTACCTCTTTTTTAATACAGGTTTTAAAAAGCTACCTAATTCCTAATTCCATTGTTTTATACAATGTTATGTACAGATTAAAACAAAGTGTTAGAGCGGAATGGCTGGAGCAACACTAACTAGACAAAAGCTTGTAACATAATGCTAAATCAAACAAGATAGAAGAAGTGCTTTGCAGGACAACCGTCTCTATAAGATGTGATAGGAAAAAAATGTATAATGTATGTACAAGTATTCAAACAGACCCCCCCCCACCCCCAAAATTCCAGCAGACCCATTTGTAATGGAGCAGATGCTTGCCGCTAATTCATGTAAATTCTACTGTAAAGAAGAGGAGAAGAGGGGACTGCATTCCTCATGCATAACACAAGTTATTTCTGAAATACCAGAACTCCATCTTGCTTCTTGGAAACATGGGGTTGGATTCTAAGCACCACGAGTGAAGAATGGGACATTCCCACTATCCTTTCCCACTGCGGCCTGCTGTGCTCCACCCAATGTAGCCAGGGGAGGGTGTCAGTGGACCCTAAGGAGCAACACAGAGTGCCTGCAGTAGACTCCAGCTCATAGAAGTATCCATCATGCTGTTAGGATGCAACCCATGGTTCCATGCAAAGGTTGTTCTGCTGCTGCAAATACAGATCAGGAAACCACCTGCCTTTTGTCACTACTGAACAAATACACAATTTTGCAGTTTTTCTCTAAAATGTTACACAAATTAGACTACTACTTGTATATCTGAAAAAAACATTTTACATTTCTTTTCAACACTTAATTACCTAGAATTAAAGGGCCCAGAATGAGTGCACAAATGTAACCTCAATAAACAAGTGTGTTTGTTAGTGTGTTTGTGGCAGTGATTACTCAAACATTAATTCCTACAACATTGCAGACACTTTTAAATTAAGTAAATGCACAAAGTGCAAACTAAGGTGTATCAAAAGGCCCAAAACAGACTACAAAAAACTGTGCAGACAATTGGGTTCAGTTTCAGAAGACACGAACTTCGGCAGGGATGTCTCCTGCACATATCTCCCTTGTTCCCAATAGAATAGGAGTTGCACAAGAGCAGCTCCTATTCATTTTAGTGTGGCAAGGTACAAGAGAATTCTAGAGGCTAATCCAAATGTTAATTCAGTTATGTACTAGTATGAAGCCATAATCCTGCACAAAACCTGGTATCAGGATTAGCAGCAAATGTAGAAGAAACCAAGAATATCAATTTAGTCACCTGTGACACCCAAGATTAAATATTCCAATGTGAAAATCAAAGCAAGAGGATTCTCTGAAATATACACTTCTTGAATGAGAACAGACATGAGACAACTGGCTTCTGAACTGCATCCACTAAAGTTTCAAGTTTAATGGTGTAAAAATCTGACATTCAAATACAGTTTTAAGAAACTTGCTTGCTACAGTGCAGATCGTATCCATCCTCCCCCCCCCCAATAAGGCTGGTACCCTCAAATGAACAGTTAACAGGTTTTTTTAAAACGTTCAACTCATATAGGTCAGGCAATGCCATACTGACCACCATCAATGAACCATCTCCCTTTTATATTTGTGTGTTCAAGTTGAAGGGGTTTTGAAAAGGTCAACATGTCTGCTTGCATGACCTTCTGTCTTCAATCTGGCACAGCCACCTCACCAGAAAGGACAAAGAAGATCCTGCCTAACCCCATTAAACCTGCATCAACACTGAGGCTGCAGAAGAAAGACCAACTCCCAGTGTCAACGTTCACACACACGCACGCACAAGAAACCCCATACAGATACACCAGACAGGGTAATAGAGTCAAAAGTTCCAGTATGCTTGAAGGAAGTTTCAAATAACATGACATCTTCTGCACAGCCCCAGACTCTGACACTGCAGCAAGATCTTTATCTAGTATAATAGACTCTGTAGTAAACTGTTTTTGACCTCCATAGTGAGTAAGAGTTGTCAAATTTAAGAAGATAGACTCCTTTCCCTGGGTACTGATGGCTGCCAGCGTATACTTCTTCGTGACAGTCTCGTCTGTACACAGGCACTATTTCATCTAGTTGAGGCTTGTTGGCATTCTTTTTGGCTTTTTCTTCATTGCTGGCATTTTCTGAGAAGAGTCAGAAACAGACTATTAGTCACAACATACAAGTTGTCTTGATGCCCCTACATCACAGAGCTCCCACACCCAATTATTTGTAGGCAGTGCTGATTAATTTACCAAGGAGCATCAAAACTCAGAAGCAAGTTCTCTCACAACAAAGCCAAAAACACATAACCACATCTGTGCTAGCACTACTTGAAAAAAAAACTGCTGATTAATAAAACGTTCACAACAAATAATGTGGAGCAAGATCATCAGTTAGGGCTTTAGTACATCAAGGTTTTGACGAAAACAACTAAAGTTAACCCTTGTGACAAGTTCGGCACAGAAATCAGAGAACAGCAATCCTGACGCACAAGCTTGGCCAGCACAGATAAAGAGCATTATGAACCCCCGCAGTGCTTATGTTCTGCTTCATGTGGACTTCTGGTGGTGCCTGGCCCTTGGGTAGCTGGTTTAACTTCAACCAAAACAAGGGATTTTCCCATTGTGGCCACAACCTGGTAGGATGCTCTGTCTGAAGACATTCAAGCCCTGTGGGACTTCTGTCTAGGTTCCACAGGGCCTGTAAGATGCAATTATTCCTCCAGGCATTCCACTGAGGCAATCTTACTGGGTCTGATCATCATGCTTGATCATCATGCCAGAGTGCCAGTGTGTTAAATCATTTTACAGAATATTTGTATTTTTTATTTATGTTTTGTACTTCTGTTGTTAACCACCCCAAGCCCAGATTGCCTGGAAAGAGGCCGGATAAAAATCTAAATAAATAAATTTACAGCTGGTTCCATCATTTCACCCTTTTTTAACAGTTTGTGTTTCCCCTCTGATTACCATGTTTCTACCAATACTGGAGAACAATAAATGATACTCTGGAAGGCATAGCTGTGAGCCTTCAGAGGGAATTCAAAGTTAGTCTAAAACATACCATATCTATTAAAATTAGAAAATCATGCAACTGGACAGATTGCTTGTGGCCTGTAGCGTGGGGTTTATAGCTGATCGTCGTTGGAAATTTCAAAAATTTCTTTAAACCAATTTCTGAGAACATTGCCAGCGACCAGTTTTTACATTCTATAGATGCCAATGGGATCAGAGTTCCTCAATGACTTCACCACTCTCTAAAAATTCTGCTTTTATGCACTGATTTTTTTTAATGGTCTAATTCAGTGTTCCCTCTAAGCTGAGTCAGTGTGAGCTAGCTCACAGTTTTTTAGCCACCGGCTCACACATTTTTGTCTTCGCTCAGGAAGGATGGCTCCAGAGCAAACTAATTTATGCAGTAGCCAAATCGCTCCCTCACAACTTTAATGCCAGTTGCTCACAAAGAAGAATTTTTGCTCACAGGACTCCACAGCTTAGAAGAAGCACTGGTCTAATTGGGCTAATTTATAGCAGTGCTCTGCTCCTGCAGCTTCTTCTGAAATACAGGGCACTGCTTATTGCTATCACAAAGGTTTCTGAAAGCTTGCCCAAGGGAGTATTCAAAGAATGCTCACTATTTATTTTAACATTTTACTCAACTGAAACTGGAGAATGAAGCAAATGAAGATCCTAACAGCAGGCAGAGCAGCTAGCTCCTGTGTTCATGCTACATGTGAACTATATGAAAGTTGGCAAGAACTTAGTACCAAACTGCAGTTAGCAGGAAGTCACCCCCATATAGTTCTAAGATCCTCCAGTGTCCTTTCATCCCACGCTGCAAGGCCCAGCTTTATGCTTTTTTGAATCATGGTTTTAGAACGGGGCACTCTATGGAAAGCATAAAGTGCACTACAGTACAGTAAGTTGTAAATGTCTGGGTAATGGTCCCACAACAGAGGCCTTCTCCAGTGACTGAGGCAAAGGAAGAGTCTCCGAGCAGATTATGAATACAAGAGCTCAGAAAAAGGAGGATCTTTGAAGTCTCAGTACCAGCAAGTGTAAGGAAGAAGAATGGCTAAGCAGTTGAAAGATAGTAAAATCAGACAGTGGAAATCTGAAAAACAGATAAAGGGCCAGCACAGAAAACCACATACTTCTGAAACTATATCTCAGAAGCTAGTGTTTAAGCATTAAGTAGTTAGGTCTGCTTGGCTCCATGCCCACAATAGAGAGCTAGGCTGGTTTTCAATAAGGCAGTGATATGTCAAACTACAAAAGCAACAAGGATAGTTCTCCTGTTGAATTTTAATTTGCACTGATTGTCACCATTTGATGAGGATTCAGGTGACATACTAGCAGACCCACCAATGAGCAAACTTTGCTACTGCAAGAGCTACATAAGGTTAGTGACAGTAGTGGTCACAGGCTGGTACACCCTACTCACCAGCTCCTGAAGACCCACAGCGATAACTCTTTGCCCATGACATACAGCACAACAAAATTCCTGAGCTGCTCCTCACTCGCTCCCTTTCTTTCCCCACACACCAAAACCAATTTTCCACTTCCACCCCCCCCCCACCAAACTCAACATTTAAAACATACAAAACTTTGCAACTTTCTTGCATGAGATACAAACTGATCACTAAAACCCCTGCTGACAATATGAGATACCTTCATCCTCGTCCTCATCCTCACTGGATTCACTAACATGTACGCTGACTGCTGTGTTAGGCGAATCTGTCCATTCAAAATACACTCCAAAACCAATGTCATAATTGTCTGTAGCAAACTCCCAGAAGAGATAGGAGCCTTCTTCATGGGTGGGTACACGAACCGTCACCACTTCTCCTCTGCCAACGGTGATCACTGAGTCTGCATCCTGGCGAATCTTCTCTTTGAAATCTGCAATCTGGGGTCGTGTCCACATGGATGGTGCTGCTATAACAGGAACTGAGTCTAAAAACAGGAAATGAAAAACAAATGTGAGATGAGCTATTAACACCTGGACACATAATTGTGCTGGAGTAGGGCAGAGGGGGCCATAGGAGAGTGCTGCTCCAAACAGGAGGGAATTCTATAAAGCCTCCCACAAAGCCACCCATACTAGCCCTTACACACCATCCTCTCAGGCCCAAAGCAACTAATCTCATCCCACCCACACCTCACATTCTCCTACAGCAACATTTCACAAACTGGGGTTCAGGGGCCTTTTAACAATCAATTATGAACTGTGTTGAAACAGGAACCCACACTACCTCCAGCCTTGTTCTATTCCTTCTGTAACAGATTGCTACTGATGCACAGAATTTATCGCCCCATAACCAGAAGGTCAGAGTGTGCCCTCTCTGTTCGGCTTCCACAGAAAAAGTTTTGCCGTTTCTCTTCCAAGCATCTTTGCTCATACCTTTTGGTCCATTCTCTAGTGCTTCTTCTAAAGCATCTGTTTCCAGATCTTTTTCAGGGTTGTCCGTGTGTACATTGACCTGTCCATTGACAGATGGTATTTCTCCTGTGGCAGCCAAATTCACCTTTGAAGCCGAAGTTGCTAAAGCTCCTGCTGCAGCTGCCGCTTCTTGCTGTTTTTGTAAAGCCGCCTACAAATTGAAAAGCATAATGGCAATAAGCGATCTGAGTATATATATCCTAAGGGAGTTACATGGTAGGATGGGCAGGAAACACGCAGCGGCAAATATGTAGAATCAACTGTTGAGACAACATTTCCTTCTTTACCTGCGGAGTCTTGGGATTGCAGATATACATGTGCACCATCAGTCAAACTTAGGGGATAGGACACTGGCAGAATTTTAAAAATGAGGCAAAAGATGACTAGTCCATGAAGGTAGTCTGAGGCCAATCAAGTGCCTTGCACACTGTTAGTGGCCACAGTATTAGGGGTCTGTATTAGGACAAGTGCTTCTTAATTTGTTTATGAATGATCTAGAATTGAGAGTGAGAAGCAAAGTGGCCTCGCTTGCAGAGGACACCAGCCTATAATGTCTCATGCTTACGCTTTGTTAAGATTTCTGCAATCCTAGTATTGCTATTTTGCTTATCAGATGTCTTATTCTACTGACTGCACTGACTTATGTTACGTACTCCACCTTGAATCTCAATGAGAAAGGCAGAATATAAATAACATAAATAGAGGATACTGAACAGCTCTTAGAATGCAGCAGTGGCTATTAATTTAGGAGGATTAGACGTATTCACAGATTAAAGGTACAATGGCTATTAGCCACGATGGCTAAATTAAGTCTCCATTTTCAGCAGCAGTATACCTCTGAATGACAGTTGCAAGAGGGTAGTACCAGGGAGGCTTTGGCCTCTGAATCTAAAGAGGATACGCGATTCTTCTGATACATCAAGACTCCTCCTATGAAGGGATACTACGTAGCAATAGCATCTAAAGCTATGTCAAGGAAGCGACAACACAAAGTTGCAGAGGCTTGATTTGCACTTGGAGACTGAGCATTGATGAAGATTAAAGCTGAACAGCTATTATTCCGTCCTTTTCTTGTGTCTCATTTTTATGCAATATGTCCAATGATCAGAATTCCATTCTACCATGCTTTTCTGCTGCAAGCATGGATATGCTAAGTTACTGGCAAGCCCTTCCTCTGGCAAATTATTATTTCCCATTGATGCTAATGGTACCTCACCTTAAAATTGCACAGCTTCTTTCCCTTCACTTAGACATTCCATAACTTACTCTGGCTAATGGGCAGCCAAGAGGAAGACACTGCTGTTCACGTGCCAGTAGTACAAAATAAATCTACTTTCACCAAATGGAAGGGGGAGAGTTCCTGTCAGGTAGTTTGGCCTCTTTCTGAGTAACTACAGCAGCGGCTCAGGAATGAAGGCACTCTAAGCCACACCCTGCAAGAGGGAAAGGGCATCTACTTATTTTCTAATATCAGACACCAGCTTCTGCCAGTTCTAGAAAGGACTGTGGGTGTTTACCACAGTCAACATAGATAACACCAATGATCATAGTCTTACTTAAAATGCATTCTGAATCTTCAGAGGAGATGGGAAACTAGTGGACACATTAAACATTAACAAAGGTTTTTAATATGTAGGCCTGATGCGATATTAGAAATGCAAATGTCACCTTCATTGTTACTTGCAAAGTAGATGAGTTGTCCCCCCAAAGACTCAGAAGGGACATGGCACACTACTGTTTCAAAAGCAGCATTGCTTAGACAGCTTGCCCAAAGGCTACTGTACCTGTTGCTGTGCAAGTTGGACCTGGTAAAGCTGTTGCATGTACTGTTGATAATGCTGTTCTTGGAGCTGACGAATTAGGATCTGCTGCTGTTCATAGTTGCCTGGGTACTGCTGGGCTGCATACTGTTGGAACTGGACAGCAGTCTGGGAATTCAGTGCTGCCATTATTTGTTGTCTGGATTAGGAACAAATTAACCCAATAAACACAACTCTGAAAGCATTCAAAGTGTGGAGTCTCAAGAACAGAAGGTTGTCCATATTAACACAACTATTTTTAGCAATAAAGAATGGCATATCTAGGATTTATTTTAGAAATATATTCACAAAGTGAGCACTAGGGGTGTGTGCTCGGTATATACTGAGACAAATAAATTTTTCGGGTATTTATTCAGACGAATCAGATTAGAGAATCTGATTCGGCTACCAAAATAGGTAAAGGTAAAGGTTTCCCTTGCTCGAAAGCCAGTCGAATCCAACTCTAGGGCTGCAGTGCTCATCTCCGTTTCCAAGCCAAAGAGCCAGCACTGTCCGAAGACATTTCTGTGGTCGTGTGGCCAGCATGACTAAATGCCAAGGCACAACGAACACTGTTACCTTCCCACCGAAGCGGTACCTATTTATCCACTTGCAATTTCTTGCTTTCGAACTGCTAGTTTGGCAGGAGCTGGAACCAGAGACGGGAGCTCACTCCGTCATGCAGCACTCGGGTCTCGAACTGCTGAACTACTGACCTTCCAGCCTGCAGTTCAGCATCTTAACCACTTGAGCCACTGCAGCTGCGCCCAAATAAAAGCCGATAATGTTCAACTTTTATTTGGGCATGGCTAGAAGGCATTTCCTTCTGAATTCAATGAGTCATGCTGGGGCAGTAGTGAGACTCGGCAAGTGAACTCAGAAGACATTTAAAGTTTAAATGCCTTCTGAACTCCATTATACCCTACGGGGATGGTTCCCTTAGGGCATTAATGCAGCCGAATAAATTTGGGCTTCCTGAATACTTACCAGAATCCCAATACAATACCGATACTGGGATTCAGGAATATTCAGGAATACCGATATTTTTGGGGTCTGATAAACCCGAATCAGGAAAAAATATTTTTTTTGGCACACCTAGTGAGTACTTTATTTCTTTCTAGGTAGAGCATGGTAGCTAAGAAACGGAGCTACAAATCTGGAAGTCCCTAATTCAAAATTTGTTTCCATCATGACTTGTTCCCATCTTTAAGAAGCGACTGGACAAACACCTGTCAGGGATGCTCTAGGCTGATCCTGCATTGAGCAGGGGGTTGGAGAAGATTGCCTGTATGGCCCCTCTGTATGCTCTCTCTCAGCCTCCCATCTGCAATACAGAGATAATAATTCTTATCTAAACTACAGGAATAAGGTTTACAAGATAATGCATGTGAGAAGTTCTGTACAGCATTGTATAAATGTTGTATCATGTATTAATGTTAGTCTCCTCAAAGCCATCATTGCCAACAACAGAAACTTATAAAAGTCTTGCAATGAAATGTTCCAGAAACCTAAAATCTTTCATTCTGGAAACAACCCAAAACTCAGTACTACCTCCCACGCCCATACAAGGGCATGTCTTGCCCTCCCATTTAGCTTAGAGCTTGATTGAACAGTTTCCTCAGGAGGAGCAGTATCAGCTCGGTGGAATGTGTCCCGTGAAGCACCACAGGGATCCATTCTCTCACCCTTGCTCTTTAATATATATGTAATGCCACGGAATAACATCATTGGTAGCTTTGGGGTCGAGTGTCATCAATTAACCTATCCTCCAAATGTATCTATCATGGCTCTGAACCAGTGCTTTGACGACACGGTGTTTGAAGGCCTGGTCAGGAGCGCCAGGATTCACAGGAACCCCAAGGAAACAATATGCAAGATCCAGATTTGCTTACAAGGAGATTTTAATAAGCAATGATCAAGCTTATAGAAACAGCAGGCTAAGCTTCCATCCACTGGGTCTCAAATACACACACACACACACAGAGTGAAACTTAGCCAGACCTTGAGATGACACATAGCTAAAACTAAGCATCTTATACCGTGAGAGAAAACAAGTTAGGTTTCCTAGATAAGAGCTGCTAACAAGCACGAGAGAGAAGAATATTCTCTCGGGAGCGGCCTAATAGCCATCCTCTCAGACAACTCAGGACAACTAAAGGTCAAGCACCAGTCTGTAACAAAAATGGAGTTACAGAGGCTATACACATGGTCAAGTGGTTACGGCAGAACAAACTGAATCTAGACAAAACAGAAGAAATGCTGGTCAGGAACAATGTTCCCTCTAAGCTGTGGAGTCTTGTGAGCAAAACTTCCACTTTGTGAGCTACTGGCACTAAAGTGGTGAGCAAGCAATTTGGCTACTGCATAAATTCATTTGCTCTGGAGCCATCCCTTCCTGAGCTAAGAGCCGGAGGCTAAAAAACAGTGAGCTAGCTCACACTAACTCAGCTTAGAGGGAACACTGGTCAGGAAGGCTGATACTCTAGAGGGGCTGGATCCATGTCCTCGATGGATTGGAACTGGCTTCTGCAGAGCACGTTAAGAGCCTGGGGGGTGCTCATGACACCGAGCACTGCTTTTTGAAAAGCAGGGTTGGTGCCATGGCCAAAAGTATCTTCTCCATCTGGTTTGCCAATACTCTGCTTTGAACACATGAACTCTGACCTCACACTAAACCAGACCACTGGTCCATCAAGGTCAGTACTGTCCCCTCAGAACGGCAGTGGCTCTCCAGGATCTTGGGGGGGGGGTCTTTCACATCACCTACCACCTGATCCTTTTAGCTGGAGATTCCAGGGACTGAACCTGGGATCTTTTGCATATCAAGCAGATGCTCCACCACAGAGCCACCGACCCTCCCTTTCTTTGACTCAGCCAAACTGGCCATGCTGATCCGTGATTTTATAACCTTGCAGTTGTACTACTGTAATAGGATCTATGGTAGGCTGCCCTTGAAGACAACCCAGAAACTGCAGCAGGTCCAGAATGTGGCAGCCTGATTATTGTCAGGGGCTAGATATTGGGAACATATAGTGCCCATTTTGAAACAGCTTCATTGGCTAACAGCCAGTCTGCTTCTGAATCCAATTCATGGTGCTGGTTATGCACTTGAAAGACCTTCACTCCCTAGGACCCCACTTATCTTATTTATTTAGTCAGATTTCTACCCCGCCCTCCCAGGCAAGGCTGGCTCAGGGCAGTTTACATAAAACACTGCATAAATTACCATTAAAACAATTAAAACCCTTAAAACAATACTACAACCAACTGATGACATAATAAGCGCTACTATTATTGTCCTTGGTTGATGTTGCTTCAACAATGGCTGCCGTACTCAATTCTCTCTCCAGATGATTGGCTCTCAGATCTCCTTTAGATATCATTAAAGCAACTGGCATTGGTCGTTGTTAGAATTCCAGGGACGCAAGGTTCTCTATCCTACTGCTGTTAACTACTGATGGTATTTAACAGTGGTGGCGGCTCCAAAGGCCTGGTGGAAGAGTTCCGTTTTACAGGCCCTGTGGAACTGTAAGAGGTTCCGCAGGGCCCTGATCTCTACTAGGTGCTCATTCCACCAGTACAGAGCCGCCACTGAGAAAGCCTTGGCCCTGGTTGTCACCAGCCTGGCCTCCTTGCAGGTCGGGAGAGCCTGCCGGATCTGGGCCCCTAAATGCAGTCTCTCTGGGGAACACATAGGGAAAGGTGGTCCTTCAGGTATGTAGGCCCCAGACCATAAAGGGCTTTAAAGGTCAAAACCAGCACCTTGTGGTTGGCATGATACTCACAAATATTTTAAACAACATCTTATTAGATCCTCTCTACTGAAGGTCTGGGAAGAATTTAAAAACAACTTCTACACCAAGATACCAAAATGGTTTGCTCCATTAGAAGCCTTTACAAACCCTAACTTACTTCAGGAAGAAATAATCCTAAAATACGAAGACTTACTAGACAGTAAAAATGAACTAAAACCAATAGAAACTTTAACATGGTGGCAAAAAACACAAATGGAATCAAGATATAGCAAAGACAAACCAATAGGTTTTTATGAAAAAGTAACAGAAATGATAAGATATTGATGTATCCTGATGAGAAACTCATTAAAAAATTTATGTACTACTTTTAGATAAGACCCAAGATGAAGTGGTCAAAAATGTTATAATAAAGTGGGCACAAAACTTGGGTCATAATATTGAACTGGACCAGTGGTCACAAGTGTGGGAAAAAATTTAAAAATTACTAAAGCAATTTCATATAAGGAAAATATTTATTAAAAGTTTTATAGACGGCATATTACGCCCGATAAGCTGGCAAAGATTTATCCGAATGGTGCAAATGTATGTTGGAAGTGTCAAAATAATGTTGAATCTTTTTACTATATGTGGTGGTTATGTCATAAAGCAAAAAAATATTGGGTCTGGATTCATTAAATTTTACAAAAAATGTTAAAATGTTCTCTATCCTTTGTTCCAGAAATATTTTTGTTGAATATCTTACCTGAAAACTGTAAAAAATATGACTCTTATCTTATACCACATGTGACTACAACTGCTAAAACACTGTATGCTAAATATTGAAGAACAAAAACACTCTCTAAGAAGAAATTTTAAGTAACATTTTGGAAACAGCGAAGATGGACATAAGAACATAAGAACATAAGAGACGCCAATGTTGGATCAGGCCAAAGGCCCATCCAGTCCAACACTCTGTGTCACACAGTGGCCAGAAATACCAGGTGCCATCAAGAGGTTCACCAGTTGGGCCAGGACATTAGAAGCCCTCCCACTGTTGACCCCCCCCCCAAGCACCAATAAGACAGAGCATCACTTGCCCCAGAGCCCCTATCTATACCTTGTGGCTAATAGCCACTGATGGACCTCTGCTCCATATGCTTATCTAATTCCCTTTTGAAGCCGTCCATGCTTGTAGCCGCCACCACTTCCTGTGGCAGTGAATTCCACGTGTTAATCACTCTTTGGGTGAAGAAGTACTTCCTTTTATCTGTTCTAACTCGACCGCTCAGCGATTTCATGGAGTGCCCACGAGTTCTTGTGAGAAAGGGAGAAGAAATAAAGAGACAAATTGGGGAAAACACACAACCTCGTTAGCTACTTTAACTAACAAGATGGAAGCTGAGTTACAAGAAGTGGATGTACAAGT